TAAGGTGATGTGCGCCTCTTTTATAGACCAATAATGTTACGTAAGAACATACATTTTCCACGTACAGCAAGTTACAGGTTACGAACACAAGGACATATCTTCCCTTCCACCAGGAAGCTATATACGAAGTGTTTTACCTATAGGCACACTATTTTGTACAAGAAACTATTCGAAAAATATATATATCTCATTCTTTTCTCTGCCTTTGATCTTGAAGATGTGTGCGAGTTAGTGTGAGTGTGCTTGATGATGAGGATGATGTGTGCGAGTTAGTGTGAGTGTTCTTAATGATGAGGATGATGTGTGCGAGTTAGTGTGAGTGTTCTTGATGAGGAGGATGATGTGTGCGAGTCAGTATGAGTGTTCTTGATGATGAGGATGATGTGCGCGAGTTAGTGTGAGTGTTCATGATGACGAGGATGATGTGTGCGAGTTAGTGTGAGTGTTCTTGATGACGAGGATGATGTGTGCGAGTTAGTGTGAGCGTTCTTGATGATGAGAATGATGTGTGCGAGTTAGTGTGAGTGGTCATGATGATGAGGATGATGTGTGCGGGTTAGTGTGAGTGTTCATGATGACGAGGATGATGTGTGCGAGTTAGTGTGAGTGTTCATTATGATGAGGATGATGTGTGCGAGTTAGTGCGAGTGTTCTTGATGATGAGGATGATATGATGAGGATGATGTGCGCGAGTTCGTGTGAGTGTTCATGATGACGAGGATGATGTGTGCGAGTTAGTGTGAGTGGTCATGATGATGAGGATGATGTGTGCGAGTCAGTGTGAGTGTTCATGATGATGAAGATGATGTGTGCGAGTTAGTGTGAGTGTTCTTGACGATGAGGATGATGTGTGCGAGTTAGTGTGAGTGTTCATGATGATGAGGATGATGTGCGAGTTAGTGTGAGTGTTCTTGATGATGAGGATGATGTGTACGGGTTAGTGTGAGTGTTCTTGATGATGAGAATGATGTGTGCGAGTTAGGGTGAGTGTTCTTGATGATGAGGATGATGTGTGCGAGTTAGGGTGAGTGTTCTTGATGATGAGGATGATGTGTGCGAGTCAGTGTGAGTGTTCTTGATGATGAGGATGTTGTGTGCGAGTTAGTGTGAGTGTCCTTGATGATGAGGATGATGTGTGCGAGTTAGTGTGAGTGTTCTTGATGACGAAGATGATGTGTGCGAGTTAGTGTGAGTGTTCTTGATGATGAAAATGATGTGTGCGAGTTAGTGTGAGTGTTCATGATGATGAGGATGATGTGTGCGAGTCAGTGTGAGTGTTCATGATGATGAGGATGATGTGTGCGAATAAGTATGAGTGTTCTTGATGATGAGGATGATGTGTGCGAGTTAGCGTGAGTGTTCTTATGATGAGGATGATGTGTGCGAGTTAGTGTGAGGGTTCTTGATGATGAAGATGATGTGTGCCAGTGAGCGTGAGGGTTCTTGATGATGAGGATGATGTGTGCGAGGTAGTGTGAGTGTTCTTGATGATGAGGATGTGGTGTGCGAGTTAGTGTGAGTGTCCTTGATGATGAGGATGATGTGTGCGAGGTAGTGTGAGTGTTCTTGATGATGAGGAAGATGTGTGCGAGTTAGTGTGAGTGTTCTTGATGACGAAGATGATGTGTGCGAGTTAGTGTGAGTGTCCTTGATGATGAGGATGATGTGTGCGAGGTAGTGTGAGTGTTCTTGATGATGAGGAAGATGTGTGCGAGTTAGTGTGAGTGTTCTTGATGATGAAGATGATGTGTGCGAGTTAGCGTGAGTGTTCTTGATGATGATGATGATGATGTGTGCGAGTTAGTGTGAGTGTTCTTGATGATGAGGATGTTGTGTGCGAGTCAGTGTGAGTGTTCTTGATGCTGAGGATGTGTGCGAGTTAGTGTGAGTGTTCTTGATTATGAAGATGATGTGTGCGAGTTAGTGTGTGTGTTCTTGTTAATGAGGATGTTGTGTGCGAGTCAGTTGATGATGAGGATGATGTGTGCGAGTTAGCGTGAGTGTTCTTGACGATGATGATGATGATGTGTGCGAGTTAGTGTGAGTGTTCTTGATGATGAAGATGATGTGTGCGAGTTAGTGTGTGTGTTCTTGATAATGAGGATGTTGTGTGCGAGTCAGTGTGAGTGTTCTTGATGATGAGGATGTGTGCGAGTTAGTGTGAGTGTTCTTGATGATGAGGATGATGTGTGCGAGTCAGTGTGAATGTGTCCTTGTGAGTGTCTTTGTCTTATCTGTAAGTTGTAAAACTTCAGCAAATAAAGAACTTGAACTTGAGCCTTTGATCTTGAATATAATCAATTTACTATCAATAATTGTTTGAAATGTCAATGCAATACATCTCAGTCATTGTTAATCGTGTTATAAGTCAAACTCATTGCTCCCCGTAAACTCCATTATTAGAGGTGGTCATTTAACGAAATGATAGCTTCTAATCTCAACAGATATGGGCTTAATATTTTCACTTCATGTCTTATGAATCATTTGAAGTAATCGTTAGACATGAAATGTATGTGAAGGTCTTTAGTTCAAAAGCTACTGGTCAAAGATTATAACCATGTTTTACGATTCATTGGATCCATGTGACGTTTATGGTAAGACAGGGTAAGTTATTTGAATGCATATGTTACTTCAGTGCCTGAATCTTAAGAACACATATCATAACCAAAACTTGTGCATCTCTTGAGAGGCTTTTATAAGATATCGACACTTCCATCATCATGACCTTGAAAGGCGATCAAGGTCATATATTTGAGCAAACGTGATTGCATTTCCTCCCAGTAAGCTTAATACCAAATATTATGACTCAGGGCCGTATGGTTCTTTCTTCCACAATTTCGATAATGTCATGAACAAAATCTATAAAGAAGTTCTGTAAGAGGTGACAGTTGTTTACCATTTATCTAAATATCCGAAGGGCCAAGTGAGCTTATGCGATGGTCCAGCGTCCGTCGTCCGTCCGTCAGTCGTCCGTCGTCCGGCGTCAATATTTTACTTTAAACAACTGCTTCTTAATAACCAAAAGGCCTAGGGTGGCCGAAAGCAGCCTGACACAAAAATAGAGTAAAGTAAATGTGTCATTTTGTTATCATGACACAAAATAAAGAAACACCAAAACACAAAAAATAACTAAAATAAATGTGTCATGCTATGAGCATGACACAAAATAAAGAAAAATACCGTGACAAAAAAATAATTACCTAAAGAAAATGTGTCATGATGTTAGCATGACACCAAATAAAGAAAATACATTGACACAAAAGAAAAATACTTTCTGGCCGAAAATGACTTATGCATTCAAAAATGATTGGTATGCTAATTGGATACGTCAGTGGAATGTATGACCACGGAGATTGGTACGACGAATACGAACTCCCTTTTTAGCCGAACACGGCACCTTGTTGCAGCAGATCAGGCGCTCTACACCAGTGAGTATGTTATAATGATTTGTTGTATTGTATAGAATGTGTGTACTGTTCAATGTGCTATATGTTGTATGTTTTGAACATATAAAGCGTTTGATACAAAGTGTTTATTGTATTTATATAAATGTGTTGCGCGCCACTTAATAATCACGATCGAGTTTGTATTGGTGGGTGTACGTTACATCCACCAATACAAACGTGATTGTATCTGTTCATGTATCTCACAGTGTATCAGGTCACTATTATTGAGATATTAGAAGTCAGTTCCATATACACATTAGTTATGGCGTTAGCGCGATATATGGATGTATTTAATTGCATTATATAATGTGGATATACTTTGCAGCCGCAGGCAAATATACTGTGATCTTTGGGAACATTTCTCGCCAGGCAAATGGCAAAAAATATACCACAAAAGTATTCTCTTGTTATATCATTCATTTATGTGAAAATAACATATATCACATTTCATCATTTAATCACTGGAAATCATACTAAGGATAGGATTCGATTAGGTATAATAGACAAAAGACAGAAATAAGTAGTGGAACAAGTTTAAAGTACCAATCATTCTTTAGAGAAAAAATAATCTTTCCGGATCAAGAGTGTAAGATAGTGAAATTCCACCCTCGAGATTTCAAAATTGGTGCAAAATTCCTGGCAGGCCCCGGGTTTCCTACGCCCCTGGGCATGAACGATTTTGACAATTTTATCTTTTAAATGTGCAAAACTTTAAGCATGGTTTAATAGAATGTCACATTTGAAACGTGTGTCACCCATTGTAGCTTACTCTTTTCTCATTCCAAATAAAACACATAAAACAAATAAAAACAAACAAAGTTAGTTTTTGGTCTAAGGCAAGTTATACAGAAAATAGTCATGCACGAGTTATCTCCCTTAGAGGAAGAACAATTACTTCCTCCTTTAAATCGATCCTTTTCCTGTAGTTTTTTTCCCTCTCAGTTGCACACTTTCTTGGAATCGTTGACAAAGAAATAACATGTTTACACAGCATCATTTGATTGGGTGATATTGTCCTCTATTCACCACGAAGAAAACGCCATCCTGCAGAAAATGCGAGAAAATACAATTTAATAATGACCATCTGAGAACAACACGCTATACTCTCTTGTACAATAAGGATAGTTTTATCTGTAAACTAAGACAAATACCAAAGCACCAGTACAAAAGGGCAAATATCCTAACTCTAAGACAATTGGAAAACACAGAAGCAGAAACCGAGGCGACATCGAAATAAAAGAATTGACGTTGTGACCTCTCAGATTCAGAAGTGTTAAGATTTCATGCACTTAACTTGCAGCATTAGGCCGATTCCGGTCGAATATGGGGATTATTCATTTAATGCATCAATACATTGTTTCAAGTAACGATGTTCTCATTTTTAAATTGATGATATATATTTATTTAAGTAAACATAAAATATAAGCAGATGCAGACTACAGTTACATATCAAAACAAAATGTATATTTTGAAAGCATTGCGACCAGGAGAAATGATAAAATTTAACTTTCAAACACCTGAGTATTCAGCTGTATAACGTTACAAAACAATGAAAATAGGTTGTTATAGAATTAAACCAAGTAACGAATACGAGGTAAATACGTTGATTGAATATCGGGCTTCTTAAAACAGAAGTAAACACACGGAAAATAGTTCATATACTGCAATATACATTTTTGTTTTATTATAATAATGTATGCTTAATTTCTGCCTAATTATAGCTCAACGACGTTTTCTAGTAGACAGTTCATGTAAAACATTGATGAAATAAATAAATAAATAAAATATATATAGATATAGCAGTAAAACAATATTTATAAAAAAATCAAAATGATTTTGTTAATAGAGTATTTATATATTTTAACTTATTTCGAAAATATTTGAATAAACAAAAAATAATCAATAAAATTCGATATAAGTATGCCGGGAACAACTGGGAACGAATCGAACATTCTCGAAAACTCCTTCCATTTTGTTAATTAGTCTCGTGATATCTCTTTGTAGTAAAATGCTGATATATACTGGATGAACAATTTTCTTGTAGGTGTTAAAGGTAAAAATCATTTCAACAACCGTACGAATACGTTTAAATGACTGACCTTGATCATACCCGGGACGGAGACCCAGAGTTGACGCTGTGGTATTAAGTCCTTACCACTGTTTCCCCTTTTTAGTTTGTTAAATACTATCCCTCCTATCAGGTACACGGCAATTAAACATATAAATCTGAAATTTAAAAAGATAACAACAAATCAGTTTAAATAGTATTCAACCAATATTATTCAAAAAATTTCATTACATACATATAATTACACAGGGATAGACAAATAAAGCAAACTCGAGTTAGTTAATCTTCAAATTGTATAAAGACACGAGGTTTACCGAATATATTTTACAATTTATAAAAAAACCTAACGAGAGTTAGATAAACGTGATAACTTATCATCACGAGTTTTGGGGACCTGTTTCTCACATAACGTTCGTATTTTATCTGGAAAAAAACACATTTTCCGTTGTATAGTTTGATGATCGAAGGAATAGAGTTCGAATCATGGTCTGGCTCCGCTCTTTTCTCATGCTCAAAAATCATTGTTTATCTTTTTATTCTATCTTTATTGTTTTCATAAAATGTCTGAAGGTGGGTTTCCTTTTCAGAGATTATTTATCAAAACTTAATGCCGGAAAAACCCCCTCAAATGCATTGTTACATCAGTAGTACAAGGATCTTTAACGAGAAAATACATAAAAATCACATATATACTGAATGAAAATAAGTAAAATCCACAGGTTACCATGCTAAATCATTATTTGAAAGAAGATGCATTGGAAATTCTCCCGTCAGTAGCATGTATATTATCATACAGGTGCACCTTAAAGTAATTTCTGTCAATTCTTATATATAATGCTACATTACTTACATTATTAGAAAAACGTTTCCTGCGATTAATCCTGAAGGCTTGAAACAGGCATTAGGGGAGGAATATACAAAAACCTGAAAAAATGTACAAGAGTACAATCTATTACCTTTTATCTATTAACTCTATAATAAAAGATAATGCTGATTTTCTTTTTTAAATGTGGGCAATGAGATTTTATCCTATTTTCCCACTTAATAGACAAGCCAGTTAGCAGGGTTCAGCGTGAAAAATATACAATGGACCTTGTCGATTGTTCCTATCGACTCGGCTTGGAAGAATTCCTCTTTATTTTATTCAGTAGAGCGCAAGACTAGAAAGCCAGAGGTCCCGGGTTCGACTCCTAGCGGAGGCGTTAAACAAATAATGACCTCTGTTACATTGGCGCCCACGTAGGAACCCCGGAAGTATGCAATAATACTTGACGATACTTGCAAAGGAATAGCTATGATCCCTGGAAAAAACTCTTACCTTCCCTTTCGTTCATTTGGTAGAGCGTAAGACTAGAAAGTCAGAGGTCCCGGGTAAGACTTCTAGCGGAGGCATTGAAAAAATAATGACCTCTGTTTCAAGAACTCTGCTGTCTCTTGTGTCCTGTACAGTTATTAATGCTGGGTACCTGCATTTTCTTCTTACAGTATAGTGATAAATTAGAAATGAACTTTGGATGGTGCAGTGGATAGTGCCCTTGCCTTTCAACAAGACAACGTCCTTAAATGAGCATAGCTATTGATAGGACGTTAAACAAAATAAAACCAGACATTTCACCAAGGAGGCCGGGGTTCGATTCCCCGATCGGACGTGAAACAATACCTGGCCGATTACGTTGGTTTTCTCCGGGTACTCCGGTTTCCTCCCACATTGGACCCCCTGCGCGCTAACATCGTGGCCAACGAAAGTGATTACTATAATCTAAAATACGTTGTTTCATAATTGCTGTGTACGTTTTTTTTCAGAAATGAACTCACGTATACTGGTAGGGTGGAACTCTGTATTTCGCCAACAGGAAGGAAGCCTTCTGTTGGGTCACATTGAAGAATAACAGTCGTCGACCTAAGTAAATATATCAAAGTATATTAATAACGCAGTACAAATTATACTATCATGTAATGTGTATCCTTCTCTATGTTCTATTAACCTTTACAATATCTGTAATGAAAAAAAGGGAGATTGTTGACACATTCGAATGGCACACTAGTATTGTTTTTAATCAATAGCTGAGTTCAAACTTAATATTTGAACTTAGGATTTGAGGAGATGTTGACTAAACCGATGGTTGATCGTATTTTACCTGGTTAATTGACAAACTTGTAAAGGGAATTTGGTTTAGGGTATATTATTGTGGTATATAATCAAATGAGCAAGGATATTCTACATAAGTAGGCTGACAAAACTGGCTTTATCTAGCAAAACTGGCTTTGTCTAGCAAAACCCATTTTCACAATTAGACGGTTCGGAACTCTACACGCATCTCTTCCCTACACCCTTCGAATATGTCAGGGTAAAAGTAAAGGCTCTGTATGCGCCACTTTGTGGGTGATACATGTAAACAAATTTTGCCCATTGATATACAGCAAAAGAATCGCGCGGTAGCATAACGGTTAAATTGACCGGCTTTGAAGTCAGCTTTCACTCGGGTGTCGCTGCTGTAGGATATGTGTATTAAGTTGAAATTTGAGTCTAAACTCGTGACCTCAGAGTCCGTAATTCGTTATCACAAACAAAAAATCCAAACATAACACATAAACTTGATAATTGATCAAACCAAAGGTAGATCGTATTATACCTGTTTATTTTGACTCAGGAATATTCAAATGAGCAAGTAAATTCTACAAACTGAAGTATAGAAAACACTGTCCATGTCCTCATTACTGCATTGTTGGAAATATTCGCGGGGGATTTAATTTCCCTATAGTCGCAGTCACCAAAGGTGGCGCAAAATTAAATCCCTGCGAACTAGCTCTGATCGGAACAACCGCGAAATATTAGCCCGAGAAACTAAACCACTACACAGTAAATACACCACTGCTATGGTCATCTTCGTGGACTATTTGTTTACGTTCTTATTCTTAAAAAGCAGTCTATTTAAATCGTACTGATCCGGGCCGAAAACGGAATGTATCATTCTTGTTTGAACGATTTCCGGACCGCGTATTTTTTGCTGATTAGTCACTCCCCGATACCAAACGGTGTCAGCGAATTCCATGTTTTCATATAGGAGTGCGCTCTGGTCCCACACCAGACATCTATATATGTAAAAATGTCTAAGTCTGGTGTTAGGGCCAGATGAAACTCGGGCTACTCCAATGCTGATCTACCTACCTTGCGTTGTCCGCTGCCAGGTAGGTAACTGTGAGGACCTCTCCGAGTTTTGGCTGGTCTAGGGACGCTCCGTCCTTGTAGCTGAACGATGCGCTGGCCTGGGTGCCTATGTCGTACAGTTGAGGTGTACCTGCAACTCCAGCGGGAACAAGCTGACACGCCTAGATTAATAATCGAGATTTACAATCATTAGTCGAAATTCATTACATACTGATATATCTGAAATATTAGATTTATTTTGTTGTTGAAAGTTCTAATGTTTGTTTGAATGTAAGAAGAAACCAATTACATTAATTAATTACATTCTCCGTACTGTTTGTACAGCGTTGTTAGTGTATTATATTGTTTGCAAATATTGTAAATATTTCATATTTGAAACCTATGGGTCGAAAGACTCAAGGTAATAGAGATTTTTTTCATTTTTTCATTTTTTATTTTTTTCATCATCGTTGATTCACATTTTACTGTGATTAATTATTTGATGATAAAGTCCTAATATAGTATGACCTAATTGTAAAGTTATACCCAAAGGAGAATTGAATTGAAATTAAATTAAATCAACTATTTAGTGACACAGATTAGTCGATCAGTATGATCATGCAGTTGAAGAAAGCAGGAATATACGTACCGCTACGGATTTACAGTTGTCAAACTGTGGCGGCAAACTTGGGTCTGTTTCGTCAAAGCTGTAACATGGATTATAGGAGTAGAGACTTCCGTCTGATGCTGCGACGTCTTGGAATCTACAAAGATAATATAGCAAACTGATAAAATGGAAATGGTAGAGCATATTTATGTTTCACGTCAAAAGTTCAACTTTTAACTAAATTACAATCGATAAGTCAACCAGTCGATGAGACATCTTTTTGAAAAGTTTAATCCCTGTAAAAAATATAAATAATGCGATGAGATCTAGAACATTTGATAACACTGTAATGCTAATGTACCAACAGATGCGTGTTCGACTTTCGGCGCTTGGAATAATTTGTGTCAGATCTCTTAACAATGTCTTTCGTTTTCAAGATTTTTGTTTTGTTTGTTTGTTTGTTTATCTCAAAGCCTTTTCATATTTCAGTTTGATCGTGGATATAGTCTAAAATAGAAGAAATCACCTGTGTATATCCTACGTTCATCCTCAAAAAGCACTGATATTTATATATACTGATCTAATTCCGGTCCACAGAGAACCTGATATCAAAGGTGCACCTTCATTTCTGAGGTTTTATAGTTATTTTGTTTTGATAAACAGTTTAAACCATGATAAATGTTATACAATAATCGGTACCATCGTTTGTGGTATTAATACCATACATAAAAAGTCAAAGATAACTGTGAAAACAACTAATATAAATGTACAGCAAGCTTTGAGTGCTATCCTTCGGCGATACTCTGTGTGATTGAGGCTGTACCCTTTGTCCGTAGTAAGGGTCCAGTTTGCCCTTTTTAAGATAGGAAGAGTCTACCCTGGTCAAACTAACTCGAAGTACACTACCTCTTAAAGTCAATGAAGTACATTTCAGTTAACGCGTATGTTTCAACTCTGAACGGTACTTCGCTACCTCTCAACTTAAATACGTCACATTTTAACGATGATTTCTACGTCTGAACGCTATTGCGCTACATCTTAACGTAACGTCCATGCGCTACCTCTTAACGTAAACTGACTACCTCTCAACCTCTCAGCGGCATGATATACTAATATCCTTACTTTGTTCCTTTTATTGCCCCTGGCTTGAGATCCAATACCCCATCACTAGACTTACACGAACAGGACGTCTTTTTGTCACATGACTTTGCCTGTAGTTCACATAAACTCAAAAGTAACACTGTAAACACATACAGATAATTTGCCATCCTCGACGTTTGTTATTTACACACACTCGACGGAGTATAAATTAATCACATGTATATCTTCATTATAATCCCCATTCAATGACTGGCCAGGTTGTCATAAAGGTATGCATATATATACATGTCTATTATCACTGCGAGTTTACCTGGGTTCATGCATACCCTGAACACAATAGTGAATTATCTACTAGGAAGCAAATGTTGATGATGTCATCAGCAATGGTATCGTGTTTATATTGTCATTTTTTCTAATCATCTGTATTATCAGGTTTTTGTAAATAACACATCACATTGTCGATAACGTATTATTATTACATATCTCTGCTTTACTAGCAAAGTCTGCTTTAAAAGCAAACATTTTCAGAATTTAAATGTAAAGTTCGTAATCTGATATGAACAACTCTCTTTTCGTAATCGTCGTGTATCTCCCGTTATAAGTAACCTTCTTCCCTATCAGCAAGCCGACATTGCCGTATTTAGTTCTCGTCACGAGTGTTGAGATCAGTTTATGATACTAACTCCCCGTTTATATTGCAGGTCCGTGAACGAGAAAAGATAACACCTGCTGTTACCCACTGCATGATCGTTAGAGGCGACTAACGTGAGAGCATCATAATCGGGAATTTGTGTTTGTGCATTCTACTTGGGGACACAAAAGCGACAAAAGAAATCTGCTGCACTCATTGCAATATTTGGGATCTTTATATTTCTCCCTACTTCTTACTTTCTTTTATACAATAGGGGCCTTGTTTGGCAATACCTTAGCTTTGTTGTTTTTATTGTTAGTACAGGCGCGGAAGGCAATTGGTTCTGTCCTCAGGCCGGGACATACCAAAGTCCATACAATGGTAGTTGTTATTCCCTGCTAAACGTTCAACATTTAGGGTAATGACAGCAACTGGTTCACCCGTTGTCAGTATAATGTGACAGGGCATAATTATGTGGTGGGTGCCTTAGGTATGGTATTTCAATGAGGTAGCACAATAAAGTCGGCTCCAGATCCGCGCTATCATAAGGAGGCAATTACATAACATACCCTGTATCTAGCACTAATACACACCCACGCACGCATTCATTATACATATGGAGTTAGGTCCTTAAATGACCTCAGCTGTTAATAGAACGTTAAACCCTATACAATAAAATAAAATGAAATTGATTGCTAATCAAACCGTATTATCCCGGTGCTTTTAAACCTCAACTCAACAAAATAACTATCTATGTGGTTTTCCTAAAGAAGTAGAACTCTTATTTGGTGACAATAAATTATGTTCTAACATAAGCTTTCATCGCAGTACTTCATCGCTGGTGAATATCCGCACTAATACAACTACTCACATAACTAGGATTGATACCTGTAATGGCGGAACAAGAAGTTAAGGATCCAAGTCCCACTTTTTTTTTTACACAGTAACCTACCTTTGATTATGTTGTTGAATATACCTGATAGAAATATAGCAGTTCCGTCGATCAGGTAGCTCTGTCGCTAAGAACGATATTATAGTAATATGAAGTCCATGGTTCGAATCTTGTTCTGGTCCCGCTGAGTGTCTATAAACAATCCGCTGTTGTTGAGTATTTTTTTGTATATCTTATCTCCATATATTTCTCATAAAAGTCCCGCAACTTTTTTTTTTTTTTTTTAAATGATTAATCAACGCTTCAGGCATGCCTGTTAATCGATCTCCAGGACACAGTTATAGTGTTTGACAGCGGTTCGAGAATCCTTAATGGGCGTCAACCTGTAAAACGGTCTATAAATCTGGATTTAACCTATCAAAGAGACGGAAAGGATTAAACGCCGTTTGCAATGGCATTCAATCACAGGAGTCAGTAGTATACCAGCCAGTCTGCAGCCGAAAGATTCAAGCACGGATTGATAATATCTTTTTTTTTTGTAAAGCACAGATGTATTACTTTTGCGACATATGGTAAAAATAACTGTTTAAATTCTTATTCATAAGCAATATAATTTAAAACATGATTAGTGCGCATGCGTATACTACGTGCTATGATCAAAATCTTCGCCAAACGACATCTTCAACAATATTACATTGTCAGGAGAAATTCATCACCGGTAAAATATGCTGCAGAAAATGATCATTAATGAAAATATTTTTAAATTGGTGATGACTATCTTTCAAAAACACGCGTAACAATGATAAACGTCATACACAAAACTCTCCATGGTACTCACAATAAAAAAAAAATGCCAGATACAAAAGTATTACTCAATGCTACAGGTTTTCAAATATATTTCTAATGAGTGTATATTTGTATTACGTATTAGCACCGAATCCCTTTAAGGACTTATCTACCTACCCGAAATCAGTGTACATTCAATTTTACCCCCCAAGTTCTAGTAAATATTCAAAAAGGTTTCATCTCGTAACATGTGTATATAATGGTTAGTCCAACTATTATTTGTACATGTGAAAGGAACATGTGTATATAATGGTTAATCCAACTATTATTTGTAAATGTGAAAGGAACATGTGTCTATAATGGTTAATCCAACTATTATTTATACATGTGAAAGGAACATGCGTATATAATGGTTAATCCAACTATTATTTGTACATGTGAAAGGAACATGTGTACATAATGGTTAATCCAACTATCATTTGTAAAATGTGAAAGGAACATGTGTATATAATGGTTGATCCAACTATTATTTGTACATGTGCAATGTGATGTGCGCCTCTTTTATTGACCAATAGTGTTACGTAAGAACATACCTTGTCTGCGTACAACAAGTTACAGGTTACGAACCCAAGGACATATCTTCCTTTCCACCAGGAAGCTATATACGAAGTGTATTACCTATAGGCACAACATTTTGTACAAGAAACAATTCGAAATATATATATATATCATTAGTGCCTTTGATCTTGAAGATATGTGCGAGTTAGTGTGAGTGTTCTTGATGATGAGGATGATGTGTGTGAGGCAGTGTGAGTGTTCTTGATGATGTGGATGATGTGTGCGAGTCAGTGTGAGTGCTCTTGAGGATGAGGATGATGCGTGCGAGTTCGTGTGAGTGTTCTTGAGGATGAGGATGATGTGATGATGATGATGAAGATGATGATGATGATGTTGATGATGATGATGAAGATTATGATGATGATTATGTTTGCGAGTCAGTGTGAGTGTTGTTGAGGATGAGGATGACGTTATGATGATGATGATGAGGATGACCCCCGCGAGTTAGTGTGAGGGTTCTTGATGATGAGAATGATTTGTGCTAGTTAGTGTGAGTGTGCTTGAGGATGAGGATAATGTGTGCGAGTTAGGGTGAGTGTTCTTGATGATGAGGATGACCCCCGCGAGTTAGTGTGAGTTTTCTTGAGGATGAGGATGATTCGTGCGAGTTAGTGTGAGTGTTCTTGATGATGAGAATGATTTGTGCGAGTTAGTATGAGTGTCCTTGATGATGAGGATGATGTGTGCGAGTTAGTGTGAGTGTTCATAAAGTATACACTCATCATAAACAAGTGTTATTCGTTTTAGATTTTCTTTGTTCAAATCTGACAACAAGAATGAAATGGATATCAAGGTCACAAATTGGTTTGAATACGGTGAGATAAGAACGCAATTTTAAGAATTTAAATATTAACAATTAGTTTACGATTAGATTTTAGCTCACCTGGCCCGAAGGGCCAAGTGAGCTTATGCGATGGTGCAGCGTCCGTCGTCCGTTCGTCCGTCGTCCGTCGTCCGTCGTCTGTCGTCTGTCGTCCGTCGTCCGGCGTCCGGCGTCAATAATTTACTTTAAACACCTTCTTCTTAATAACCAGAAGGCCTAGGGTGATGATATTTGCCCAGAAGCAAACCAGGATGAAGGGCTACCAAGTTTGTTCAAATAAATGACTTTCACCTATTTTCAAGGTCACAGGGGTCAAATATGTTAAAAACTTTTAATAACTTCTTCTAAATAACCAAAATGCCCAGAGTGATGATTTTTGGCTAGTAACATCCTGGGATAAAGGGATACCATGTTTGTTCAAATGAATGACCTTCGTCTATTTTCAAGGTCATAGGGGTCAATTGGCTTAAACAATCGTTATGCAACTTCTTCTGAATAACTAAGAGGCCTAGGCTAATGATATTTGCCCAGTAACATGCCAGGATGAAGGGCTACCAAGTTTGTTCAAATGAATTATCTTTACTTGTATTCAAGGTCACTGGGGTAAAATATGTTTAAAACTTTTATACAACTTCTTCTGTATAACCAAAATGCCTAGGATAATGATATTTGGCCAATAGCATACTGGGATAAAGGGCTATCAAGTTTGTTCAAACGAATGACCTTTACATATATTCAAGGTCACAGGGGTCAAATATGTTTAAAACCTTTAAACGACTTCTTCTAAATTAGCCAAATGCCAAAAGGTGATGATATTTGGTCATTAACAGGCTGGGATGAAGGGCTACTCATTTTGTCAAAATGAATGACCTTCGCCCATTTTCAAGGTCACAGTGGTCAATATATGTTTAAATCTTTAAATAACTTGTTCTGTATAACCAATAGGTCCAGGGTTATGATATTTTGCCAAAAGCATGCAGAGTTGGAAGACTTTTAACTCTGTTCAACCTAATGTCCTTGTTCGACATTCAAGGTCACACGCGTCATATGTTTAAATCTTTTAAGATGTTCTTATGAATCAAACACTGATATTCTGCCTGTAGCTGTATTTAAGTCCACTTTTAAAATTACAAGTGTGCGATTAATACCAGGTGAGCGATTCAGGCCCATTGGGCCTCTTGTTTTTTTAATGATAAAACATCAAACAATTGTCCTTTTATTCAAATTACTTGATACATAATAAGAAAATATTAGTGTTGTTAATTTGAAACCCACCCCCCTACAAATACTTCCACGACATTAAAGCCAGAACCGGGAAATGATCATGAAATACGAAGGCACGTTAACAATTTTAATATCAAATATCGACCTTCAGTTGGCACATTAAAACAGATTATTTCCAAATGAGATCAGGATGGCAACCAAAACCTCTTCCAAACGTCTTCGTCAACTTTCATCTTGAAACCTTGTTTTGTGGTTTTGCCCGCGAGTAGTCAACTCCTTTCACGTAATTCAGGCTACTCAGAGCTTGACAAGTGAAGCAACTGTAACATGTGTTAACCATAGTTATGTTTTGGAATC